AAAATCTTTTTCAAGATTTTAGATGATATTCTTCTGAAATTAAAAATATATTCTTTATTTAAGAATATAGTCTTTTTCGATAGTGAGATATATATATGTTTTTCTATAGAGGCTTTTTATATTCTAAAGTATATATTCTTCAGTATATATTCTTATCAATATTACTATTTAGATGATTTTCCTCTTAAAATAAGAAACTCTTCTTGGGGCGCCTATTTTAGTATAAAATATACTTAAAGTGGGATATCCTCAAAACAAGAATACAATTTTTTCGGTGTATATATGCACGAGCGCGCCGAGTCAAGATCTGAATTTCGAATCTGAATTATTGAAACTTCAGCTTGAACTTCCACGATGCGGCGATATATTTTTTCGCGAGCAAAAGATCGAGATTGCTGCTCACCGTGCTGCGGCATCTGAAGGTCAGGGGATTTCCGGAAAACCGAAGCTTCTCGAGACCCGTCATAGGCGCGAGCTGGACCGGTTCCAAACACGTCAAACGATTTCCTCGGACGTCGAGTCTCCTCAGACCTCGCAGTTCCTTAAAAACGTCGGGCTCGATCGACGCTACGTGATTGTACGAGAGATCCAATTGCTCGAGAGACGTCAGACCGACGAACCATTGATATCTCACGTTCGTGATGTTGTTGTACGACAGACCGATTTTCTTTAGATATCTCAGACCGTCGAAAGCGTAGCTTGAAATCTCTTTGATGCCGCAGTCGTGCACGTTCAGAGATATCAGATTTTCGTTGTATTTCAGAAACGCCCGATCGGGAATTGTCTCAATCGACGATTGAAAGATCAGAATGTCGCTTGTGACGAACGAGCCGTTGGAAATCGCTTGCAGAGTCACGTTGAAACATTTCAAACGTTCGCTTCGTCCTGCGCATCAAAAAATGTATAAACTGGTAAAATTTTTGCGAATTTTCATCATCGAAGCGAGACTAATAGCGTTAATATAATAGCCGCTTACCGTCCTCGTGCTTGGTGACGGTGCACGTCGCGGTTGCGGCGTCCACGAGCGCGCAAATGCAGACAAGAAGAACGACAAACGAGGTTTCGCGGCGCATTTTGTCCGCGAGCGAGATTTTATTACGACTGACCGCGTTCGTTCGTCGGATGCGAGCGACAAAGAACGTTTCTTCGTACCGTTGTACGGAATTTATCGCAATCGACGCTTTCCGCTTCTCCGTCCGACGATACCGCGTTATCGAGGAGACAATTGTTACGTAAATATATATATAATAACATTTCGGATGTGCGTCGTGTGTAGTCAATTAATCTCGAAGTCACTAATTAAGTTTTATATCTATACGTGATTATTTATTTTTAAGAAGCGACAAAAAAAGATTTCTTGTTATATATATGTATAAAAAAAAGAAAAAAAATTACAAACTACAATACGGTACAGTTTAGAGATTTTTTGGAAATTAATATTTGGCGACCTTCAATTTTTTTAGCCACGACAAAAAAAAGAGAGAGAAGGAAAGATTGTTTAAGAGGATAATGGATAACGACTATAGATAGCTGTATAAACCGACGTTTCTTTTTTCACGTTCTGAGTCGTATTTTACTGCATCAAATTGAAAACGCTTCTCTAGAGATAAGTAAATTGTGCTAAGACAATTGCGCTAACTCTTTGGAATGTCAAACTTCAACAAAAAGTTTTTCTTATACAGTTTTCCTTCTGTAATCTCACCATATATTTATGTATGTAGAATTCTTTGCAAGCTTATGTACATATTTACACTGGTGTTAGCGCACTAAGTGCGACAAAAAAAAAGTCTAATGAAACACATTCAGATTATGGTTTGACTATCTAATTGATGAGAGAACAACGTCATGGTGTGATGATGTATATCTGATACCATATACTATCATTATGAATGACAAACAAGTTCAAAAAAGCATTATATACCCATTTTCAAAAGCTTTATATAGTTTTGTATATTTATTTGCTTCTGTAGAAGCGGTTTTAATGTTGTGCAGTAAATAAAATTAAAAAATAAAGAAATTTAGGTTATAAAAACGTCGGTTTTTACAGGTCTCTATAGTTGGTATCCAGTACCCTCTTAAGTCTGTCAGAATTATTCGAGACAGATGAAAGCTATCACCGAAAAAATTATATTCTCGTAAATGAAAGATTTTATACTTAAAAAATCTTCTTCAAGATGATATTCTTCTGAAATTAAGAATATATTCTTTATTTAAGAATATAGTCTTTTTCGATAGTGAGATATATATGTTTTTCTATAGAGGCTTTTTATATTCTAATCAGTATATGTTCTTATCAATATTACTATTTAGAGGATTTTCCTCTTAAAATAAGAAACTCTTCTTGGCGCCTATTTTAGTATAAGATATACTTAAAGTAAGTGGGATATCTCCTCAAAACAAGAATACAATTTTTTTGGTGTACTTGTATATATATATATATACACCGAAAAAATTATATTCTTGTAAGTAGAAGATTTTATAATTAATTAATTAAAGAATCTTTAATTATTAGAAGATTTTATACTTAAAAAATCTTCTTCAAGATTTTAGATGATATTCTTCTGAAATTAAGAATATATTCTTAATTTGAGAATTAGTCTTTTTCGATAGTGAGATATATATGTTTTTCTATAGAGGCTTTTTATATTCTAATCGGTATATGTTCTTATCAATATTACTATTTAGAGGA